CCCCACTTGTCCTGTCTACCCATGCTCTCCATTTATAGGCCTATGTTAACGTACCCCCCCACTTGTCCTGTCTACCCATGCTCTCCATTTATAGGCCTATATGTACGTACCCCCCCACTTGTCCTGTCTACCCATGCTCTCCATTTATAGGCCTATATGTACGTACCCCCCCACTTGTCCTGTCTACCCATGCTTTCTATTTATAGGCCTATATATAGCACTGTAGCTCTGGGAACATAATTTCACATCACTCTGGCCGTGTATTGAATACGGCTGGTCTGACAACAAAGCCCCACTTGACATAACTCAGCCGGGCTTGTGGTATGGCTCTGTAACCCCTAATCAAATCATTTTCTGTTGACTTTTAGTTGACTTTTAGTTGACTTTTAGTTGACTTTTTTTGATTTTTAGTTGTAGTTTCAGGAGGCCTGTTCGACTGGCCATTCTTTCATGCATATTTATATCTATATTCATATGTACATCCTTAGACATAGCAGCTGCATGTATCAGGGCAGCACAGCTCAATTGGTGGAACAGTTTCCTCATCCACAAGGTTGAGGGTTTGAATCCCTCATCTGTTCTCTCAGTGTGTCTCTCTGGTTTCCTTCTGCTCTACAAAGACATGCAGTGAGGCTGACTGGGGTCTAAATTGCCAATAGTGTGTGACTGTGTTTGCATGCCTGTGTCCTTGTCTGTGCTGCCTGGGACTGGCTCCGATCCCCCATGCAGTGCTGACCAGGATAAGCGGCTGGAAGATGGATGAATGCACCAGCTGTATGTGCCACAAGCTCTGCGTACATTGCTGGATTAGCAAGGCGTCCTTGAGGCGTCCTTGAGGCGTGGCTGAATGAACATGACGGAATGACCGCGCTTGTCCACGTGTGTCCGGCAGGATTAAGGAATCGTCCGGCTGGCAGCAGGTCTTCTCCAGCCCTCACCTGGACTGGGCTATAGAGCGCGTGGCCCTTAATGCGAAGGTGGTCGGCGGTCCCCACGGCGACAAGGACAAGATGGTTGCCGCGGCATCTGAGAGCAGTATTATCCTCTGGAGTATCCAGGATGGAGGCAGCGGAAATGAAATAGGTATAAATGGACCAGGGGTGTGGCTGTGTGGGAGGGACAGGATTGGTTGATAGTGGTACCCACATCGCATTACTGCTTAAGCAGAAGCTGTTATCCAAAGCTGTATATAACTGAGAAAGCAGGACCAGTGCCTGCAGCAGCTGGGCTTTGGAACCTTGAACAGTGAAATCACTCCACCAACCGCGAAATTTTGAACCAGGAACCTTCTGATCAGGGGTACATAGTCCTAATCCACGGTGCCACACACCGCCCCCAAACACATTTTCCAGCTTACTGCGGTAAATGTGGTCTGGTACTCATCCAGGTCCTGCTTTCTGAAGCCCTTTGTGATGCACGCGAGCCGTTCTTCTGTATGAGTTCAGGCCTGGCTTTCCCTGTGTTCAGGCCTGGCTTTCCCTGTGTTCAGGTGTGTTCAGCCTGGGCGTGCCGGTGGACTCTCTGTTCTTCATCGGGAGTCAGCTAGTAGCCACCAGCCACACGGGGAAGGTGGGAGTGTGGAACGCCGTCACCCAGCACTGGCAGGTTTGCTCTTCGCTCATTATTTATGTGCAGGTACCTTTGACGCTGTCCCGGAACCTGTGAAAGGCTGTGACTGTCCCGGAACCTGCGAAAGGCCGTGACTGTCCCGGAACCTGCGAAAGGCCGTGACTGTCCCGGAACCTGCGAAAGGTCGTGAACGTTCTCCCTGTGCTGTGTCCAGGTGCAGGACGTGGTCCCCATCACCAGCTGCGACACGGCCGGCTCCTTCCTGCTGCTGGGCTGCAATAACGGCTCCATCTACTACATCGGTGAGTCGGAAAGCACGACTGCAGCCACGGGGAACGAATGCTCTGCTGTTCTCTTTTAATGTAATTTAGATGTGATTTTAAGTTTATTTTTGGCATTTATTCTTATTCTGATACACTTGTTGCACTTTGGTCAACTTTGTTGTGTGAAAAGTGTGTTATAAATAAAGTTGCCATTTCAGAACACAGAAACCCAATCAGCTGACTCTCCTTGTCTTTGGTCACGACCCCCGTTCCCCTAAAACATTTAGCAGCTTTTGTGTCTTTGTGCACGATTGCCAGACATGCAGAAGTTCCCCCTGAGAATGAAGGACAACGACCTGCTGGTGACGGAGCTGTACCACGACCCATCCAACGATGCCATCACGGCACTCAGCGTCTACCTCACCCCCAAGACCAGTAAGTGGTTGCATCAAACTTAAAGTTCAGGACTCTTTACTGTATTGCTGCCCTTGCGTCCTTGATCATGCTGTGATCCGTGACGCGCCCCCTGCAGGTGTAAGCGGGAACTGGATCGAGATCGCATACGGGACGAGCTCCGGCGCAGTTCGGGTCATCGTGCAGCATCCGGAGACCGTGGGCTCGGGGCCGCAGCTCTTCCAGACATTCACCGTGCACCGCAGCCCCGTCACCAAGATCATGCTCTCCGAGAAGCACCTCGTCTCTGGTAAAGTCTGCATCATCATGGTGTCCTCTAGTCCTGGGTGATCCATTCCTACCCCTGAACAGTTGTATGTTCTCTGTGTTCAACCAGGCTTCCTGCCACAGTCCAAAAACATGGTTTTGGTGAATTGGTGTCTCTAAATTGCCTGAGGTTCCCCTGCCTGCCCCGTGCAGTCAGTGCTCTTTGCTTCTTGTAGGTGCTGAACTCGTCAGAGCCGGTTAATGCTCAGTGACCTTACTACCAGCGATTGTAGCATGTCCTTTTCAGCACCCCTGTTTCAATTTGCATTATTTTAACCATCTGCTACCATCTGCAGTGGTCACATGATGGTTATGACATCCCATCTGGACTTCAGATGCCACCCATTGGGGGAGGCTGCCATCTAGTGGCCGAAAGGTGTGAGACATGAGCGAAAGGGGAGTGCGGCTCCTTGCATTGCTTGGATAGGGGCCTATGCTGGGCACTTTGCCCCAAACCTGTAATCACTGCTGCTCTGACATTCCCGTAACCACCAGACAACGAGAGCAGCTCTTCCTCTCTCCAGTGTGCGCCGACAACAACCACGTGCGGACGTGGACGGTGACTCGCTTCAGGGGCATGATCTCCACCCAGCCGGGATCCACGCCCCTGGCCTCCTTCAAAATCCTGTCCCTGGAGGAGGCTGAGAGCCATGGCAGCTACTCCTCCGGCAACGACATCGGTGTGCCCCCGGGGGGGGGTGGGGTTGCAACCAGGGTTTTACAGTGTTTGTTATACATGGTTCTTGTACTGGTTCTCTGTCTGACACACTAGTCAGTGGCCCGGTTTTGGTTATCTTAAATATGTTCACATAAGCGCACAAGGAAATTTTCACCAGTCATCAGTGGCTCTTGTGCATACAGTAGATATACAGTGAAGACAAAAGGCAGTGGTCACATACAGTTTATGTACAATGTGCATGTGTGGCTAAGTGTGTAAAAAGTGCAGGAGTGCATGTCAGGGCAAGGAATGCTTTAGTGAATACAATACGTACAAAATGCTACAATAATTGTAATATGACAGAGTTTGGACTGACCTGTGTTGTTGCATTGATCATCTTCAGGACCGTTTGGAGAGAGAGATGACCAGCAGGTCTTCATTCAGAAAGTCATTCCGATAACCAACAAACTTTTTGTGCGTCTTTCTTCTACTGGAAAAAGGTAAACGCTGCCTCCTGTCTGTTCATTTCATCAGTTTAATGACATAACCCAAGTTAGCCCACCACCACATATTTTCCACGTACCATGAGACTGATGTTTTCTTTTAGTTAACTGCTGTTGTCTGGCAACAGATTGACGGCTGTGTGCCCCCTGCAGGATCTGTGAGGTGCAGGCAGTGGACGGCACCACCATCACCTGCTTCACGGTGCGCGAGTGCGAGGGCTCCAGCCGCATGGGCTCTCGGCCACGCCGCTACCTCTTCACGGGCCACGGCAACGGCAGCATCCAGATGTGGGACCTCACCACGGCCATGGACATGGTCAACAAAACGGAGGACAAAGCCAAGCGGGACACAGGTGAGTCGGGGGAGAATGAGACCCCTCCAGGCTACTAGTGTGCTGAAGGGGAAACATTTATATGGCTTGATGTGACTGTTAGCAGAGGTAGGCGGTCCCACAGAGGAGGAGCTTCTCAAACTGCTGGACCAATGTGACCTGAGCGCCTCACGCTGTGCCACACCCAACATAAGCCCCGCCCCTTCCGTCCTGCAGCACAGCCGCCTGCGAGAGTCCTGCTCTAGGTAACTGTCCTGTTTATTAATAACATACACCCACTCTTTAGGCTGACATGAGCAGTATCTAATCTCATATCCTCCATGTGTTATACTGCAGTATGTTACTTTGATGGTATTTTCAAAAGCAATGCTACATTGATGCTTTATTGATCCCGCAGGCAATTTAGGCATCCAGTAGCTTACGCATATAAAAGAGCGCAATGCAAAAGAACAACAGGAAGAAGAATAAAGAGTAATAAGACAGACAAAATTGGCAATAGTAACAATAATTAAGGATAATAATAATGATGTAATCTACTAAATACTAATCGCCACAGAATAACTATTTAGTGGTACAATAGTCATTAGTATTCTTAGTACCTATTCCAGTATTGGAGGGGTCCAAAATAATGCTGTGTACCATGTTAGTATCACCATCGAATCCCAGTTCACTGTGCCACCCTATGTATTAATGCTTGGAATTGAAATTAATGGAGATTATTACAAAAGGCTGCCATATTACAAAATGGCATGATTGTTGACTGGTTAGCCAGGGTTGGAGGTTCGAATCCCCACTGCACTCTGCATGTTCTCCTTGTGTCCCATGGGTTGTGTCCCTGTATTCCAGAGACATGTGGTTATGCTAACTGGTGTCTGAATCGCCTGTGCTCTATGACCGACGGGTGCCTGTGCTTCCTGTGTCCCCAGCCTGCAGCTGCAAGCACACGAGCCCATTCCTGAGACGGCCACCTATGGAGCGCTGCGCCCCTACCGTGAGAGCCCCCTGCTGGCCCGCGCTCGGCGCACCGAGAGCTTCCACAGCTACCGCGACTTCCAGACCTTCAACCTGGGCCGGGGCCTGCTGGAGATGGGGCCCACGGAGGCACGGTGCTCACCCGGCGACCCTGGCACCGAGGCCGGGGAAAAGAGGGGTTCTGCCGCAGAGCTGTGGCCCAGCCGGGCCGTCGAGGTCCAGCCCGAGTCTCCCCGGCAGGCCCCGGACAGCCCTGGGGACACCCGAAAGAAGGTGCCCCAAGAAGAGGATGGGCAGGACGCCAAGTTTGATGGGAGGAAGAGGGGGGCTTTTGATGGGACCTTTCTGGGCAGGAAGAGGGCGCCCCCTATGCCTCAGCTTGCCTCCTTGCCTTCCAGCACGGAGGGTGGGGGCAGCGACTCTTCCAGTACTGCGTCCCCCTCCCCGACCAAAGTGTCAACCTCGCCCCGACACCGGAAGGGCACGGAGCCACCGGGCCAGGAGTACCTGTGAGTGTCGGACGCACGGAGACGCCCGTCAACGCTAATAGAGACATGACAGCAGCACATATGTACCCCAGACACGGAACCACACCTGTTTCTCATGTAGCTTTGCATTCTGGTCCGCTGGTAATATGGGCTATGGATGGGCTATGGTCTCTCATCTCCGGCGGATAGCCCAGACAGAAGGGAGGCTCATATAACTCTCCGCTAATAATTTCAGTCCCAGCGGGCCATTCCTGGCCTTTAGGGTGGGGCGGCTTCGGAAACCTCAGCTTTGCTGGAATGTCCGTCTGCTCCCTGGCTGGTTGCTGTCATCACTTCGCATTTGCCCGCTGCTCACTGGTGACCGTTTTGAGCCCTCAACTGGAATGGTCGCTCAGATCATCTTGTGAAGTTTATTAAATGAAGTGGTGAGAAGGTCACGCACTAATGCCAGGGTCCCGTGAAGTTCTTCTTCCAAACCTTGTCCTTTGGGACAGGGAGCGTTTTTGGGTGTCATAGTGACAAGAGTGATTAACATGATAGAAATTGACGCATTTAAAATGAGTCCTGCTGTGTCCTTCGGCTTTGAGTGAAGCCGAAGGCAGCTGATTCGATGGCTGAGGACTGACGGAGGTGGGGGGGTGATCGGACCGCCGAGGCCCTGGGAGAGTGGAGGAGGTGTATGTGTGTGTGGCCGGTAGGGGCTGGCTGTCCTGTCACCCCCTGGGCACGTCATTCTCAGGTGTTACTGTATCGAGTCGTCAAAATTGGTGATGTTTCCCTATTTTTTTGTCATAGAATTTCAAATTATTGAATTTAAACGATCAAAATTAATTTTTCATAGCTAACAGGAGAGGGAATCTAGCAGGTCTCTCCCTGATTCCATTCTAATCTTTCTTACTTGCTCAGTGCCTTTTTAACATTCGCAGCCGTGGGTCAATATATGGTTACAGGTGGCTGGCCAGGAACGAGAACCAAAGTGAGGGAGTCGGGCCCGGTTCTGATGAAACCTTTACATCCACGTCTGCGGGAGATTTAGGGTGTGTGACCGGGAGTTGGTCCTCAGCGTTGAGTGAGAATGGTTTTCCTTAAGGCCGTTTTTGGCATATCACACGGAAGACACATTCCGGCTGTATAGTATGGCTCAATATATGCATTACGTCAAATTATATTTTCCATGCTCCTCATATATATATATATATATGCAGTCCATGATATTTATATGTAATTGTTCTAACACGGAATTGCACTGTTACTAAGGAAGCATACAGAATAGTACTTACAGGTTTATTGAAGAAACACTAACTGATCACAATGGGGACTGAGCTTTCTGCTTACATGAAATCCAGTCCCCTTACAGAACTGGCTGTAGTATGTTTACAATGTCAGTCCAGTCAGTAGAATGTGGTTTGTAAAATAATGTATTTATGTTGTCTAACTGTTTTTGTACAGCACCTGTATAAAGGAGAATATTAATATCGAGTCGTTCATGGTTACAGCACATGCATGAGGTGCCAGTGAACTTTATTTTTAAAGGGTTAATGTGGAGGATGTAGGTCTGTGCTTGAATGTAATGGATGGTCATTAATGAAGAGGATTCACACTTTTAGGATGCGTGTGGGGCAGTCAGGGTTCTGCACAAAAGGGGCAGACCGCACTCGCATATTATGGTCTGTATGATACGAAGGCAGGTGGCAGTGATGGGCTGCTCGCCCAGACCTGCCGTAAATGCACCATCATTCTTGTGGTGAGTTTAAAGGCAGAACGCTGCCTGTTGTTAAAAAGACCATACTGTTAATGTTATTTATCCACGGGGGGGGGGGGGGGGCACACGACAAGGAGCCCTAACTGGCCCATGAAACTGCATTCCTAAACCAAAAGTCGAGAACGGAGAACCGATTGGTGGATTTTTGGCAGGGGTTATGATGCGTCCAGGACTCGGTGTGCAATCTGAGCAATTCGACTGTTGGTGTCTCTCCTCAGTAACTATAGAGATGGGGATTCGGCGCGGCTATTAGCGACGGGCGGAGGGGGTGCTCCAATGCTGGATTACGTGTTTAATGTTGCGGTACAGTTCAAACCGGGATCACTGGGTACCTGAAGCTGTCCGACAGCAAGCAGCTGTGTCATTACCCTCTACTGACCGAGTAAAACAGCTAACCTGCAAAATGGCTTCTTGTGTCTTTCTTTGAAGCAGAATGTGATATTTCTTGCCGTGCTACACTAATATTAACACTTGCCTGCAGTTTTTTTTTTAATAAAACATTTTATACAGATGCAAAAGTGCCTCTAATTCAAAGCAATAAATTTATTATTATAAAAGACATGGATTTTAGAGTATAAAGATACTATATAGAAGAGATTTTTTTTAAATCTGACATACAAAAGAGTCAAGCATATTTATGTACAGTGTGGTTTACAAATAGCTTAACAGAATCCTGTCCCTATTGCCAAGGTTACCACTTCAGCTGACATCATAATGCATTTGACCTGAGAGAGAGCTTGGAATGCCACATCAAAGAAGGGGGAGAATATTTCGGAAATGCCATACTTAAAAAATTTGTTAGTGATGTAAGAAGTAATTAATTGGTAATTTTAATTCACTTGAAAATGGAACAAGCAAAGATACTACAACTGTGTTTTGTATAAGTATGAATATCTCCAGAAATCCTGAAATACTTCAAAAATACAGATTGTTATTAAGTGTTGACACTCCTGTCCCCCAGCAGCGCTAATCACTAATTAGCGTTAGCTCTGGATGAAGGCAAGCAGGCTGCTGCCAGGAAGCCTCCATCATGCGTCCTACCTTCACTGCATCTGCTGCTTGTCTGCCTGAGGACTGGTGTCATGCATTAATAACTGTCAGAGGACTTAAAGCGTCGCAGGGACAAAAGAGCACTGCCCTTTTCAGATGGGAAAACTTGCCATAATCATGCTCTAAATAATACTGATTGAAGGTAAAAAAAAGGAATTAAAAAGGACAAACCCACAACCCTGGTTGTGGGTTTTTTTTTTACTTAAAAAGGAATTTTACATCATCTTCTACTTCCACTACTTGCTATCTCAGCCCTACTGCTACTTAAGTTACACAGCAGCATGTAGCATATATATTCAACAAAACAATAAGATAAGGAGCTGGTTCATGACCCTGATCATGTGCTTTGTAAATGTCCTGGTTTCAGATGATTTCTACCTGCTGACCCTTCTGAGTCGGCAGAAGTAAAAGCTCACAGTGTGGTCCTGAGGTGAGATGAGTGGGCAGCCAGACTGCACCACCTTACAGCATCATCTGTCGCAGGCAGGGTCTGATGTCATCATCACAAGCTACTGCTGATAGATAAATGTACTATATTAATCCCAAGCAGACGGTGTTTGCACTACTTTCTAATAGTATTAATGATCTCTACAGGGCCACCCGCTGGACAGCGGTAGTAATCTCTGCCTGACTGCCTCGAAAAGGGGGCTGCTGCAGTGAGTTGTCAGTTTCCTCATGGCTGGCCAAGGCGGCGGGGGGGGGGGGTATATTTTTGTAAAATCTTATTTGTCGGGTCTAAAAGCCCATTCAGCTTCTGAGCCTGGTGGCTAAAAGTTGCTTTTTGACTTGGGGGGGAAAAAGCCACATACATAGAAACACTTTGGTGCTCATGAAAGGCGTTCAGCGAGACCAGCGTGGAGGTCAGAAGGACGGAGCTCTGACTGTAGCTACAGGCGTGTGTCCGTGAAGGTGGTCTGCTCCTTCCTCACTGTGCTGATGCCCTTGACTGCATCCATCAGATCCTCGTCCTCCACAAACTGAAAGTGGTGAACCGGGATCACTCATTGAAATTAAACTCATTTGCAGAAAAAATGTAAATATGTTACCCCGCGTTTTTTAAAACTAGTAAGTGAGATTAGTTCCAGATTCGGAGTTCTGCCAAGTCTACGAGCGAAGACCGGCCCCCCTAATCAGCCACCAGCCCGTTACACATGTAGGTGCTGAGTGAGGGTACTGATCCAGCACCAGCCGGACTGACTGGTAACCCAGCAACTCACCATCCTGCTCTCATGGCCCTGCTCCCCAGGGTCCCACAGACCCTCCTCCAGCAGAGACTTCTTGTCATGGGTGTTGGTGACCTGGCACCCGCTGTGGGAACAGGTGTGGCTCAGGTGGCTGCGGTCTGGCGTGCGGAGCACGGATGTGATCTGTGAACCGTGGCAGCTGGAGTAAGATCCACCGCAGACCGTCCTGGTCTCCGTCAGACCCTGTGGAAGGAGATTCAGCTCGACTCGGGCTAGAGGAAACCAACACTACAAGGCCATGCAGAAAGCAGCCACGCGCCGTACTCTGCTGGTGACGCGTGCCACGTCCCATACTCTGCTGGTGACGCGTGCCACGTCCCATACTCTGCTGGTGACGCGTGCCACGTCCCATACTCTGCTGGTGACGCGTGCCACGTTCCATACTCTGCTG